TGTGGGGTGAACCAACAAAAAAAGGAAGACCTTTCTGTCTCTCTCTCTCTCACTGTCCACTCTGCCTGTCAAAAAAATAAATGAATAAAATGTAGAGGGGCCGGCGCTGTGGCATACCAGGTAAAGCCGCCGCCTGCAGTGCTGGCATCCCATATGGCCGCCAGTCCTTGGGCCCCTGCACCTTCAAGAGAGACCCAGAGTAAGCTCCTGGCTTTGGATCCGTGCATCTCTGGCCATTGTGGCCAATTGGGGAATCAATTAGCAGATAGAAGACTTCCCTCTTTCTCTGCTAATTCTGACTTTCAAATAAATAAATAAATCTTTTTTATAAAATGGAAATAGAAGAGAAAACTTTGTGGAAAGCAGAGGGTAGGCCCCATGCTGTCCACATCAGAATGGAGCCCACCAGTGCAGGCCTTATTGAGCCTGGCCCCCCAATCAAAGATGGGTTTCAGGTAGGTCTGCTTGTCAGGACCAGGGTTGCATGTGTGCACCCTTGCTGCAAAGGAAGCCAAGAGAGCAAGTCTCTAGGCCGTCTCTGCTCCCACCTGAACACGCATGATAGAAAGCTCTCCAACTGAGGGATGCTGTGCTCAGGGGCTTGTTAGCCGTAAAGGATGACAAAGCTAAAGACAGGAAGAAGGAAGATAGAAAAGAAGACCAAAACCTGAATCCTGGGAAGAACTGATGTTGAAGGGACAGATGGGAGTCAGTGAAGGAAACTGAGAAAGCAGAACTGGAGCTCCTAGGAGGTTCCAGACAGTGGGAGGGGGCGGGCGGCAGAGACCTTGGGAGACACAGCTTTGAGCAGAACCAGCAACCATCGCATCTGACAGTGGCTGGGGGAGACCATTTTCAGCGGCAAGTGAGGTGACAGCCAGACTCCAGGGGCCTCAGGAGTCTGTGGAAGTTGTGTTAGTGGAGAAAGTGAAAACTGCTCTTGGGAGAAGTTTGGGAAGGAAAAGACAAAGAGAAAGTCGAAACTAAGGAGTGGCGCAGAAAGGAAGGGTGTGGATTTGGGTTTTGGAGCCTGGAGTGCCTTTAGTCTGTTTGTAGGTGTACGTGCTGGGCCAGCCCTGTGTTCCCCAAGGATGCCCACAGGCAGGGGCGGAGGGAGATTTAGTAATGGCCTCTCCCTTTCTGCTGCTCTGAGAAAGTTGCTCTGCTCAGCAAAAGGTATTAGTGTTCTTTTTGCATTTCTAAACTACCCATGAAGCTCTTCTTTAGGGATTAAGAACATAGAAAGTCTCAGTGTTACCTCCAGTGTTTGCAAATGTTCACCACCAAAGGCACCCGGCAGGGGCCTTGGGGAGCGTGTGGGTTGGGAGTTGGAGACTTGAGCACAACCTTGGAGCATCTCAGCCTGGTGCATCCCAGACAGGAAGGGAACCAGCCCAGGTTCCTGTGGATGCTCTCCATATCCTCTCACCTTAAGTGCTTACAAACCTGCCAGTGACCTCAAGCCAGCTGCCTTTGCCCAGGTAGAACACAAGGAAAGCATAAGACGTCTGTTGCATTTTTGGTCCAGCCTTCTACCGTTCCCAAGACCTCCAGCCAACCTTTAGTCACACAAACACCGTGTGGGAGTGACAAATGCCTCTGCCTTCTGAGCAGTTCCCAGTTGACCATAATTCCTCAGAAACATGCCTAAGAGTAAAATTTAAGAGGCTCACTTTTCACATGGAGAAGCCAACGCACGCACACACACACACACACACACACACACACTTCAAACAGCTGGAAGAGATGAGAGGTGAATCCAGGACACTTTTTTCTGCCTATGAAGTAACAAGAGAAAAGAAACCAGGAAATGTTTCATTGTGCTGGGGATGGAAGGGGCTGATTTTTCTTTTTGAGATTTATTTATTTGAAAGAGTTACACCGAGAGAGAAGGAGAGACAGGGAGAGAGAGAGGTCTTCCATCTGTGAGTTCACTCCCCAAATGGCTGCAATGGCCAGAGCTGGGCCGATCTGGAGCCAGGAGCCAGGAGCTTCTTCCGGGTCTCCCACTCGGGTGCAGAGGCCCAAGGACTTGGACCATCCTCTCCTCCTTTCCCAGACGCATTAGCAAGGAACTAGATTGGAAGGGGAGCAGCCGGGACTTGAACTGTTGCCCATATGGGATGCCATCTCTGCAGGCTGTGTCTTTACCCCTTATGCCACAGCAGCAGCCCTGGAAGGGGCTGATTTAGGAGGAAAGCACTGGTGGGTGAGCAAGAGGCAAATGTAAGTTGATCACCCTCCTGTAATTTGCATAAAGTATTTTAGTCCAAGAAGCAGGCACTTGGTAATATCTGAGTGACCGGAAGAGCCTGTGACAAAGCAGTTCCCAGCAGCTGAGCAGTGGGCCACCCCGCGCCGCCCCTCAGACACCACTGGCAATGGTCTGCCCATTTGCTGAAGGATGAAATCATCTGTCGTCAATGCACCTAACTCCTCGGAGGCAGGCAGAGCTGGGTCTCACTGCCAGCGCCTTTCTGCGGAGCCCAGCTGGCAGTGCCACCTCCTCTGTTCCTCCTCCTCCCTCTCCCATCTGAAAAGCAGGTTACTGGGAGAATCTGCTCTGCCCCCCGACAGTGGGCTCCACCTGCAGGACTTCTCCTGGCTGCCTTTTGGGAAAGCTGTTTGTGGGAAACAGAGTTGCTGTCAGTCAGGGCCTCTGACCCACCCCTGAGACCGCAGCCATCCGACAAGGGTGTGCCTCCTGGGGAAGGCAGACTCGCGCACACCTGATTTCTAGCCGTGGTTCCCTGGAGATAGTCAAGTTAAAAAGGCATGCCACCGGGTGTAGGCCCAGCTCAAGGTACAATTAGAGAAGGCCTGGAAGGGGAAAGAGAAACTGCAGTTTGTGCCAATCTCTTCCAGTCATCAGTTGCTTTCCTCTTTCAGACAGCACGGCAGCTTACTTTCCTAAGGGGATTTCCTTGTGGGGAAGGCATGCGTTTGCCTGAGCAGCCCCTTTAATGGTGGCAGTAAATCAAGTCAGTGAGGGAGGCCTGAGATCGACAAGCCGGGGAAGTCGGGACAGGGATTTCTGCTGGCCTCAGGTTCTGTTTCCTTTATGATCAACAGCACTGTACCGGGGGGGTGGGGGGTGGGTGCAGACTTTGCAGGTTGTTCCTGAGACAAAGAGGAGAGCGAGCAAGACAGAGTGAGCGCTCAGAGAGAAGACGCAGGGCTCGCACTTCTCACTTTCTTTTCAAACCCCGCTTACCTCTGCCTCAGAGCAGAGCACTGGCACCTGAGTGTGCAGAAGGACCAGCCACTTCACCGTGGTTTGCAGGGGAGCTATGATTTGAGAGAGCCAAGGAAGGTCCCAGCTTCCTCTTGCACTCATTTGCTGCTAACACGAAGTGTTTCTACTGGAGAGGCACTGTGGTCTTCCCAACATGCCCCCCCACCCCCACTCCAAGGCTGGCTGCTGTCTAGATGTTTGCCCTGGTAGAATATTGTCCTCAGGAGGACACTGGCCTGCTTAGGACAGTTGGCCAACCTCATCTTTACCTGGGTCAGACCCTGCAGTCCAGCTCCATTGGGAATAAGTGATTTTGCACCCACGTTCCAACGTGATGTAGACCCTTAGGCTTGGAGACTTGGCTTTTCTAATCTGTAAAGCAGGGATAATAATGCCTACCTTCCAGGGTCCTTGTGAGGGTGAAGTGAGATCACAGATGCAAAGGCCCTGGGTAGTCCTAGTGTACAGGGTGGGACTGTTGGTGTGCCCAGCCTGCTGCCGCTGGCGCCAGGCTACTGGAACATGGCTCCGGTGGCCCCGTGGATCTTTCCTGCACTTGCTGCCACTTCCCACTCCGCGTTCTCAAGCCCTTTCCCAGCTCCCTTTTACACGATCTTGTACTGTTGGCACCATTAAGCCCTTAACTCATCTTTGATAGAAACAGACAACAGTAATATTGACAGAGGGATGACAGGCACACAGACCAAATTTATGATCCTTGCACAAAGAGACACATTAAATAAATATCTATTCACATTACAGGCAAACAATGAGGTCAGTGTACTTAAGAGTAACTTGATGAGAACGGACTTGTCTGTCCTTCCTGGCTGATTGAGTGCTCTCATCAGAGTCCCCAGAACATTTTCCAAACAAAGGAGTTAACCTGGGCAAACACCACCTGCTTGGAGCTGCATTCGGCAAGTGTACAGCACGGGAAAGTCACACCAGCCCTCTCCCCCGTAAGGGTTGTGTTCTAATGGTGAAAAGGGCTTATTGAGTAAGTTTAAATGAATTCATGTTTACAAAGGTACCGTGCAGAGGTGAAAGCTGTGATGTGTGAGACGTGTTAGAAGCTGGGGCTATTTATAAGACTGCAACCTCCGCATGGATTACTAGCCCACTGATCTGGAAGGGTCACTGTCAGATCCTTTATTCCCCGATGCTCGGTTTTCTCTCACACAGGATGTGGTACATCAGATAAAACTCTGAGAAAGTCTCTTGCCCATTCTCTACAGGATGAAATATTCTAAGAAAGTTATCTAGTGCAACTTTTGATGCATGTCGGTCATTTTAACTTCAAATGTCTCTTGGGAACATGACTTCCAAACTGAACGTACACTCATTTTTGAGGGAGCTTTGGAGAGTCCTTGTCTAGCCTTTGCCTGATAGGGGCCACACCAGGGTAGAGAATTACCACGGCTAAGGAAAACGCAGTCGTGTACAGCACCCAGCTAGCGTGCACTTTGTCTGGAGCAAGAGCTGCATGAAGGGCGACGTGTTTTGGAGCCCTTGATGCAGACTAGGGAAGTTGAGTTTTGTGCTGTGGGTAGTGGGGAGCCAGAAAGGTTTGGGAATGGGGAAATAATAACTAAATCAACTCACAGAGCAAAGGGGGCTCCTTAAATTTAATTATCATCCCTCTTTTCCCTTCCCATAACATAGACGGATGGTGTTCTTGAACTGGTCTCAGCACAAAAGCGGAACCTGTGAATTTATTTCCCCATTGCCTTTTGAGGGTCTACTTAAGCTGTCTCTGCTTCTACAGTGCAACAGCTGGTGGACTCCATGCACCCCAAACCCAACGGAGACGCTGCTGGGAGGTGGTGACGGGCTGTCAGGACACATGATCATGTTCCACTAGGAAGAGAGGCTCCTCGCAGGCTAAGGTAGCAGGTGGCTTAAACGCTCACCCAGTGCAATGCACCAAGAAGACTGAAGTCCAGAGACTGAAAATGATTCACCCAAGGTAAGTCAAACACGTCAACTAGCCTACTCGAGCACGTCTACACTACAAGCTTCATGTCAGGTGCTAGGGATACGTGAGAAGTAGAAAATGGTCCCCATCCTCAAGGAGCTCACAGCGGAGATTCACAAACAGGTCACGTTAGTAAGGTGTTTCAAGAGGTATTTGGAACAGGAATAGGGCATTGCTATTCGAGTTTAAGTCTCTATGAGTGTACAACCCAGCCTTCGGTGGGGTGATGAATGGAGCTGGGTCTTCTAGGAAAATAAGAAAGGAATATTTTGTATAGACTGGGATATCGCAAAAGGCTTCCCGGAACAGGTTTGTGTTAGAGTCACCTGTGGCACCCCCATCTCCAGGGTGGCCCCTAGTGATTCTTGCCACCTGTTATCCATGCCCTTGTGTAGTCTCCTCCCACCCTGAATTGCAGCTGGCTTGTGTGACCAAGATAGAATACCAGAGGAGAGGCTAGAGGTGACAAATGGCACTGTGGGTTTCACCTCAGTGTCTGAGTCACTCTGGAAGAAGACAGCCCCAAACCTTAAGGATACTCAAGCAGTCCATGGAGAGGCCCCAGTGGAGTCTCCAGCCAACAGCCAGCACCAACTCTTCAGCCTGGTGAGCAGGCCACCTTGGAAGCAGACCCTGTGGTCCCAGCTAAGCCTCAAACGACCACAGCCCAGGCCTCATAAGTCAGAACCAAACTCCTGACCCAGTGAAGTCATGAGATAAAATAAATAAATTTTTAAAAAGATTTATTTTTTTGAAAGGTAGGGTTACAGAGAGAGAGCATGAGGGAGAGACAGAGAAACCTTCTATCTCCTGGTTCATTCACCAAATGGCCCCAATGGCCAGAGCTGGGCCAATCAGAAGCCGGGAGCCAGGAGCTTCTTCTGAGTCTTCCATGCAGATGCAGGGGCCAAAGAACTTGGGCCATCTTCTACTGCTTTCACAGGCCAGAGCAGAGAGCTGGATGGGAAGAGGAGCAAGTGGAGCAAATAGGAAGAGGGGCAGCTGGGACTAGAGCTGGCACTCAAATGGAGTGTTGGTGGTGCTGGCACCAGCCCCAATAATTTTTAATTTAGCACCATATTTAGTTTTTTTTCTGATACCAAAAACTGATCAAATAATTTTTGAAAATTTGGGAGGCAGAGTCTCTCTCTCTCTCTCACACACACTCACACACACATCTCCCATTTAGTAGTCCACCCACCAAATACCTACAATGATTGGGACTGAGCTAAGGCCAAAGCCAGAGAGAGGAACACAATCCAGGTCTCCCACATGGGTGGCAGGGTCCCAGTTACTCAGACTGTCACTACTGCCTCCCGGGGTCTGCATTAGCAGGAAACTGGAGTCAGGAGCCGGAGCCAAGAAACAAGCCCAGGTACTCGGAAGTGAGAGATGGGAATCTTAATCACTACTCTGATCAAATAATTTTTTATTAATCTTAGCTAAAGGAATTTGACAGTGACTCAATACATATGATTTCATATAATATGTTGTATTTTTTAATGCTGAAGTCTCATTTGACAAAAGGTTTGTGGAGCTAAGTGGAATGTGCATTTTCTTCCCAATCCTACTGGCTGTGGAGGAGGCGGCGTTTCAGCAAGCGCTTTTATTTTCAGTCGCCTTCTTATACGGTGGCATTTTTGCGAGAGGATTTCTTTTCTGTGTGGTAGCATTGCTGAAATAGTTGTGTGTGGATTTTGTTGTTTGTTTTCTAAATGGTAGGTTTACCAAAAAAGCTCCCTGGTTCCATCTGTAAAGCAATGTACCTCCACAGGAAGTGGGGACGGTCTTGTCTGTTTTTAAACACACGGGGCTTTGAGTACCGGGGATGTTATTCTCAGACTAATTCAGCTTGGGGACGTGCTTCTTTCACCATAAGTAGATGACAAAGATGGAATCTGTGTAGGTAGAAAACTGCTTCTAATAGGAGTAAATTCCATTTTTAGCTGACCCGGGTGCCCAAGCCTATTAGAGAAATGGAACCGGGCAGATGAAGAGACACTTATCAGGGTCTCCTGGGAGTGGCGGTTTTAATCCCAGCCATGTGAGGAACACTTAAATGGGATTTGGGGGATCATTGGAAACCATTAGCACCTTGTCAGCCACACCCATCGAGAGTGCCTCTTGCTTTAAACCATGCAGTGTGGGGACCATCCAGCCCGCCGACCACCAGCTGTAGAAGGCTCGCAAAATCATGTTTGTGGTTTGGCCCTGTGAAGGCAATGGCAGGTGGGACTCAAAACTCAATAGATACATAGCAGGCTCATTTTGAAGGCGATAATGTTGTGTGGCCTGAGGATGATGTTATAAATATCCACTTGGCCAAAAGCTTGCCCACCCCTGCAGAATAGCCTTCTGCCCTCTTTCTAACCCTAGGAGTGACGAGGTTTCGGTAGCTACCCGGAGCAACCCTGCTTGCTAAAGTTTCAGTTTTCAGAGCTCATTGGATTGTAGCAGAGGGAAAATCCAGCAAACACAATACCCCTCACTTTAATTATTTATTTCCCCTCCTGAGTCTTCTGGGTGGCAAATTGTTCTTTCAAAGAGTTGACTTCACTCTGTCTCCCTGCACCAGAAAGCTTCCCATCTGCTTCAGGGCATGGAGGAAACTCAAAAGGTCATCCTGGGTCGGTGTTGGGAATGCTGGTTAGAGATGCTAGACCCAGGGGCTGGTGCTGGGGTGTGGCTGTGATGTCGGCATCCCATATGAGCACCTGTCTGAGTTCGTGGTGTGGAGTAGGTGGGCAGACTCAGATTTAAATTGGGTCTTTGTCACTTTTCATATGGATTACTTGGATAAGTCATTTAATCTCTTTCAAGGCAGCTTTTTAACTGTCAGTATGCATTCCTTAGGGATCGTGTCATTATGAGGATTAAATAAATAAATAAAATGATGGCAGCCAGTTATTGAACACTTGCTGTGTGTCAGGCATTACTGTTAAGTGCAGTATGAATACTCACAACCATCTTGTGCAGTGGGCACTTTCCGTATCCCCATTGTACTGTTGGGACAACCCAGAAACAGAGAGGTTACCTAACTTGCCCACGTTCACAGGGTTAACAAGTGTCAGAGTGAGCCCTCCCATCCAGGCAGTGATCTGAGTCCACGATCTTGGTGCCACACTGCCACGTTTCTGGGCAGGCGGCAGGCATTAGTAATAGTCTTGGCTACTATTGCTCAGCATGTTCTCCCCAAGAACTCATCTGGGCCCTGCTGCCATTGCTGTCACTGGGATTTGGGGGGCCCAACTACTAACCCCACTACTGACTGACAGTGGTTAGAACTTCCTCCAAGGACTTCCTCTTGAATTACATCTCTGCCTCCAGTGAGCATATTCTCTGCAGCCACCTGGCAGACTGGGGAACTGGTGGCTTGGTGTCAGCCAGGCAAGGACAGTAGGCGGCAGGCCGAGCGCTGACACTGCTCATCTGCAGCTGTTATCAATAAAGCCAGAGGCGGAGGACGTGGAAGCCAGCGGGAGCACTTTCATCCGAGGGCCGGACGCAAGGCTGTCAGCTGGAAACACAGCCAGTGCTCTCGGGTAATTCCTGACTTCCTATTAGAAATAAACAAAAAGCTCGCCCTACTGAATTTCCTACTTGGCGTCTGGCTTGGCAGCCGGTCCCTAATGCCTATCACCTAAGATAGCAAAGATATTAGGCCCGGGCCACTGGACTAGAACAAAAAGGATGGGAAAGGCCGTCCCCTCTCTGACCCCTGCTCCACTGAGTGACTGGTCCTGTGGGAATCCAGATGCATCAGAGTTTCGGGGGTGGGAGTGCGGGCTGAGGGGGGACTGGGCAGGAAGGTAAAGAAGGAAAAGAACCCTGAGTGAGCAGACAAGTCCAAGGACCCCTTCTCTTTTGTGGCCCCCTACACCTTGTTGGAAGCCCCAGACCCCCGTGGCTCACTGGCCCAGGACATCTCTGGGCAAGGGCCAGCCCCGCCCCGGCAGGCTGGAGGGAAGTGGGGGTGGGAAAACGCTGGCTCAGGACTCCAGGCCACTCTCCATGGGATTCACACGGTGGCCCAGCTCCTCGCCGAGGCCAGAAGGCAGCGTCCCTGCAGCATACCCCTCGGATTTGTGATGTTGACGCTGTGACTGTGGGAAAGAACATTCTGTAGACATGCTGACTGGCCTGGTCTGACACGCCACAGCAGGTGGTTGCTGTCAGCTTTTGCTGTCATGATGGGCAGCCTTCCAGGGGACGACGTACCTGTCCAATTTGACTTGACACTCTTCCCCAGGTGAAAATGCCTTCCATTGGTGATTTTGTGCCACTATCTCATAAACTGAGGATTTTATTTTTTTAAGGATTTATTTATTTACTTTAAAGACAGAGTTACAGAGAGAGACAGAGACAGAGAGAGATCTTCCATCCACTGGTTCACTCCCCAAATGGCCATAAAGGCCAGGGCTGGACCAAACCAAAATCAGGAGGCAGGAGCCTCTTCCAGATCTCCCATGCAAGTGCAGGGGCCCAAGGACTTGGGCGATTTTCTACTGCTTTTCCCAGGCCATAGCAGAGATTGGATTGGAAGTGGTGCAGCTGGGACTCGAACCGGTGCCCATAAGGGATGCCAACACTGCAGACTGCCTCTTAACTTGCTATGCCATAGCACTGCCCCCTAAATTAAAGATTTTCAAGGCTAGCATTTCAGAAGCTCTTTTCTTCTTCTGTGTGCTATCCTCACTTTTCAGAAATATTTCATTCTCTTTGGGTGGAATTTAGTGCATAATTTACAGGGTCCAGAATACAATGGATGCATGGGACCCCTTGTTTGAAAGTTACTAAGATTTGCAAGGTGACAGAGACAGAGCATGAAATGAAGCACAGGCCCCTTCTTTTCTTTTTTTTTTCCAATATTTTATTTATTATTTATTTGAGATTTAGAGTTACAGACAGTGAGAGGGAGAGACAGAGAGAAAGGTCTCCCTTCCACTGGTTCATTCCCCAAATGGCTGCAATGGCTAGAGCTGCGCCAATCC